AAAGGAAAAGGCAATGCTAGTGAAGGCTGCCAAACATTTTCCACACTCGAAAGATATATATAAGAAAAATTGAGCCTCACGGCATGTAATCTAATGACATAATTCAAAGTGGAAAATTTAGCCCTTGAAATAAATGAGGCGACTAGAGAGTTCATATGGTGGGGGCAAAGACAAACATGGGAGACATGAGGAGGAACAAGGAGGTGTAGGACCTTGGAAGGTTCTTGGTGGAAGAGTATAACATGAGAGTTAGAGTAGTGTTACAAAACGATGTCGTTTTGGCCAGCAGTGATGGAACAGTCGGAGAAGAGAAGGTGGAGTTAATGAAGGTTGTGGACGCGCAGAAGCAAGTGGTGGTGGGAATGAAGTACTACCTAAAGATATGGGTGGAGTAGAATGGAAGTTACAAGAGTTTGATTCGGTGGTGGAGGTAAAGCCATGGTTGAGTCAAAATTCAAAGTAGTTAATTAGCTTTGCTTCTTTTCATCAACATAACAGAGATTAGAAAGATGATGACGACGACGATGATGACGTTGAATCTGTGTTGAATAAGAAAGGTTAGAGACTTCTAGTCATGGGCTCTTGGAATGTAGAAGGAGAAAGAAGAAGATGGAGAAGATGAACAATTCAGAGAGGGGAGAGACACCCAGTACTAATCAATGAGCATCACTTGTCATCCATTTGATCAAATTTTGATTTTAATAGCAAACATTTTCCAAATTTATCGACAAGAAGAAATTGCTCCCTTTTCTAAAGTTATAGGGCAAATTTGTTTCAACTAAAAACTACAGATATCTAACAATCTTTTGAAAAAAAAAACTCCCACCTTTTTATTTCAAGTGAAATTTGTGTAGAGAAGGCCCTCAACAAAAGGTAAATTTCATGTCTATTTTAAAGATCTCTAATTTTTGACAATTATTTTGTGATTTATTGAATTAAAATCCTATATGAATTGTGTTATATTAAATCAATAAAGTATAAGGGTTGGACTATTTTGAATCAATACATTATAAGGTTAGAATTCTTCTAAGTTAAAAAATTACAGGGAACAAGTCATTCCAAGTCAATTTAAGAACTAAATCAACAATAAAGCACCTATTTAGATTCATCCATTTAATCAATTATTAAAAGAAAAACCATAGTTTGGGTAAAACATACCCAAACGCTCCATTTTACCCATAATTGATTATTTGGTGTTAACTGTGTTTTGGATTAAGCTTGGCAAAGTAGCTTTTCAATTTCAATTCTTCTCAACACTCGTTACTCCATTTATTATTTATCAGAGTTTTTCCTCTACCAAAATATACCCAATTTACTCTTCTTAATTTCATGAATCGTGGTCTCCCCAGTTGACTCTTAAGCGTCCTCTGTCATAGCGCCATCTTCAACATGTCACCCTCCTCTCATACTTGTCGTCCACCGTCTCTAATCTTTAGCCACCAACTGCAATCTCTAGCCATCATCGAACAAGGTTCATGTTGCCTTGATTTGCTCACCCCATCTCCGATCTGCTCCTCCTCCAGTGTCATGCATGAGTTTAGATCTAGTGAGTATTGTCGTGTGTGAGCCTCTTCATAGAGCTCTTTGATTTCTCCCGTCACTCTGGGCCAATAGATGTATAAAATGGCATGATCAAATATAAGAATTAAGAGACAATGAGTGCAGAAAATGAAGACAAGGCTAAGAGCATGTGTCATGTTTCTAGGCTTATTATTATGATTAAATCATTTAAAATTGGTCAAGGGGAAAAAATGCTGCAAAAGTTTTCTAAAAATAACACTAGATATCCTTACTTTTTAGTAGGAATAATGTCACTTTAAAACTTTTAAAAATAATATAATTTTATCCTACCATCAGGATTAACTGTTTATTCCATTTTATCTGTCATGTAGCAAACACATGGTATTTTGAAAATTAAAAAAAAAAAACACCAACAAGCCTTCATCACCATCATTATTAAAAAAAATAATTGCCCAAAAGTAATTAACCCAAAATTCAATAGCAATCAATCCCAAAGGAAATTGCACAAGTCTAGACAAGAAATTGAAGATTAGAAAATTACAAACCGAAGAAATGAAGCTTATCAAAGTGAAAGGGGGAGATCAAAGAAGGGAATCATACATAAAGAAATCAAACATCAAGCCCAGATCAAAGAAGGGAATCTAACACAAAGGAACCAACCATCCTCTATTTCAATTTCCTGAGTCTGACATGTAATTCCGGCACGTGCTTGAAGGAGAGGAGACACTAGACAAAGGGTGAGGTTTTCAAGAAACTTAGCCATGCCTGTGCTTGAAGATGAACAGAATTTAGCAAGATTTGTATAAACCAAGGTCTGTATAAGATCCCTTCAAGCACGAATGAACAGATCAGCGAGATAAACGTCGAACTAGGAGCATGATTAGGCATTGCTATCATTTCAAGAGGAGACGGAGGAGTTTGGGTCTTTAATCAGGGGGGAGAGAGGTGGACGGTAAAGATGGAAAAAGGAGTGAGAAAATTGAATCAAAACCCTTATTCTTTAATCTTTTTGTGCAGAAAATAGAAGAAAAAGAACAAGGAGACTCATGTGAGTAAAAGAGGTATAAATAATTTTTTTTAAGTGCCAAATGTCTGCCACATGGCAAGCACAGTATGATTTTGAGACAATGTTGCTTTAACTAAAAGATGAGGATACCTTGTGTTCATTTTTAAAAAACTTTTAAAGTATTTTTGCCTCTTAACCCCACCTTTTTTTTATCATGGTTGGAAAGGGAGATTAGTCAAATCATTTATCATGATAGTAATTTTTTATAATTTTTTTTATAATGTTAAGCCAGATATTATATACACAGTACATGAAGAGCTATAAAATTAAATTTTTGAAAGAGATAAAATTGGAAGATAATAATAAATAACTCTGCACATGCCTCAAATTAATGACTAAAGAATGTTTCTAAAATGTAGCCAGTAATAGAGACAAGAGGAAGAAATCAATATATCAACATCAATGTAACATACTATAAATTTTATAACAAGTGGCATATTCTAGGATTAAGTTATAAAGAGCATAACTCATCAAATTTCATATAATACATGGAAAAATGTGTTTAGTGATTATGATTTTTAAGATATTTAACAATTTTTTTAAATTTTGTTTTAAACTAAAAATATATTTTTTTATTAATTGATATGGTGTGTAACGTTGCTACTTTCAACTACTTCACCAACAGAAAACAGATTTGGTGAGCCACTCTGATCACTCGTCAAAATTGAATATTGAATGCATGGGCTGGCCGAAGGACCATAGTCACAAGTCACAACACAATGCGAGGCAATTATTTTGGCTCCAATGTCTGGAATTTAATTGTTTAGTGTTTGCTTCTCATTTTAAACCATTAAAATCAATAATTAATAGATGGGTTAGTGCCTTTTCAAAGATTTGGACGGCTAAAGTCAAAATGAGGACCCTCGCCTCCAGAAGAAAACATACAAGGACAGATCCTTTCAGATATGTTTTATAAAAAAAAAAAAACAATTAAAAGAGGCTATTTTTTAATAAAGTACTAGTATCCATTGAAAAAAATGATTGAATAAGATAATTATATATAAGCAATGGTCAATGTGTTTATATGTCTAAATATAAAAATTTTAATTGGTTTATGAATTTTCCCTTATCTTAAAATTTAATAATTTTTTTGAAACTACTTTGAAAAATTATGAGCAACTTAAATCATTAAAGGTATTATAAGTTACAGGACTTTTTTAAGAAATTGAAATTTTTAAATAATTTTGACAATAAATCCATAAAATCCTATAGTATATCTTTTAATTCTCAACTAAACAAAACAAATTACTTCGTTCCATCTACAATATTAGATATTGCTAACTATTTTAATATTTTAAAAAATTATACACATTTTCAAATATACACATTTTAATAATGATAATTGAAATTTTTATGTACTATTTGTTCAAAAGAAATAATAAATGAAGTAAGGTAGAATTTATAAAAAAAATACAACAACTATTCAATATCCTATATCTTCAATCAAATAGGGTTTCTAAAAATGCCTTGATAAATGGAAGTATATTAATAAAGGCATGTTAGAAATGTTAGAATGAATTTCGACTTATTAATTATATTTTTTAATCATATGTAAAAATTTTAAACAACAGATAAAAAGAAACTGAGGGAGTAAAGGTAAATAATTGAAAACTTAATTAATATATATATATATATATATAAAACTCCCTCATTTTACAAATATGAGAGAAAATAATCAATTTAAACATTTTAAGAAAGTTGTTTAGGTATAATAATTATATATGAAATTAAAAATTTTGGACTAATTATTCTTGTATTTAATGAAACAAATTTATCTAGTAAAAATAAATATTAATTTTATGAAAAAAAATTGAAATAAAATATGATAAATGCTTCTTAAAATTTGTAGTTTTGTTTGTAAATAAAAAAAAACACATGATAGTTTCTTTTATAAAGAAGAAGGTAGTATTAGTCTTTTTTTTTTAAGAATATAGAAAATTTTAAGTGAGATAAGTTTTGAAACTTGTTAGGATTGAGATATGTTTCAAAACTTAAAAAGCCATTATAAATATATTTATAAATTATTCACCAATAAAATGAGGCATTTATATAAGCCGCGGAATTTGATTACACAATCTTATAGGTAATGGGTTAAATTCTTCAACAATAAGGCTTTATCATTAAATTATGATTCATACTCTTTAAATTAAAATCACATTATTTAATATAGATTTTCCAGGATAGAGTGACAATGATAATCCCTTAATTTGAAACCTTTCTGAATTTGGGTATTGAAAGAGAATTTTCCCAAAATCCCATCCCTTTCACCCAGCTGCCACAGCCTCGCCGGAACAGGCCATTTAAGCCTCAAGCCAGCCCAGTATAAGTACGAAATTACCCCTCAACTATCCCATTAAAAGAGTCTCGGACAAGGATAATTTTGGTCATTTCGTGGATGGCTTAACATAATATTGGTCCCGGGAAGCCAACCATAATTAACCGCTACCATGTTTTTTTTTTTTTTAATTCATAAATTTACAAAACGAAAAGGTCAAAACTTAGCGTTGAACAAGAAAACTCCAATATCCCATTCTGTTGCAGTGAGCTTTGCCAATAATCTTCCATGGCTTTGAGTCTCATCATTCCTCGGCCATGGCTTCTTTTCCTGACCTTTCTTCTCGTTTTCACAGTTCTCTAATTCGATTATGTCATAGCCAGTCCAGCTCTCCTCAAAATATTGAAACTTTCTATCCCACTGAAACTCCAACACTACCGCCGGGGCCATCGGGGACAAATCGAGCTCCGCCGTCAACGGCGTCAAACGGTTCTTCTTCATCAAACAGTAAGATAGCCAAGGCAGTGGCTGCAACCGCAGGAGCTACTTTCGTTGTCTCTGCTTTAATCTTCTTCATAGTACATAGGTGCTTGAGAACAAGAAGGAAACATGAGGCTGTTGTTCCTCAGAATCAAATTAATGGGTTTGAGCGAATTGGAGAAAATGTCAGAGGGTTGATTGTTGATGAGAATGGATTGGATGTGGTTTATTGGAGAAAGCTTCGAGGAAGAAGCTCCAATGGGGATTTCCACAAAGAGGTCTTTCGCAGTGCCCAGAACAAACAACACCAAGAAAAAGACGACGAAGAAAATCAGAAACCAGAGACAGTTCAAGAATTTCCTCTGCTTCGTGGGAAATCTTCGACTTCCCACATACCAGAAGACGATGAATCGAATCGAATAATTACAGCAAGAACTAGTCTTCCTCCTACACCAGCAATTCCGAAACGGAATAGTTCGGCCCCACCAACTTCCCCTTCTCCTCTCCAACCAATTCAGGCTAGGAAGAATTCCCCGCCAGCGCGGCCACGAAGTCGGCAGCCACCGACTGTGAAGTCATCGTCAAAGCCACCACCGACATCTCATGAAACTCCAACAAACAACGGCAGGCCGGGAAATTCTTCCGGGGAAGGCACGTCGGAATCCGGCAACGGTCAGATGAAGTTGAAGCCTCTGCATTGGGATAGGATGAACAGTAACTCTGATCACTCGAAGGTGCGAGACAAAGCTAATGCGGGCTCTTTCAGGTAATCCTAATTCATAAGAATTAGCAAAATCAATATACATGAATTACTAATTCGTGATCATGATCGACAAAATGGTAGGTTTAATGACTTTGAGCATAACATGTTTTTATTGTGTGTTATGACATCGTTGTTATTCGTGCTTCCATTTTAGTTAAACTGATGAACCCAAGTGTGTGAATATAATGGTGAATTTCAGTGTTGATCAAGATCTTATGGAAGCACTCTTTGGATACGTGGCCATCAACAGAAGATCACCAAAAGGAAGGACAAGTGACTCAGCAATTCAAAGCAGGGGGGTCTCTTCTCAAGGACAAGTCAGATTGGGAAGAGAACAGCAGAGAACATAGAGAAAGAAAGACCCTTTTGGACTCTATTTATGATGGTTAAGAATTTTGTGGTGACTGAAGTTCAACTTCAAGCCTGCATTGAGATTTCTCGTCGAATGCAGAACAGGAATATAGCTAAGCTGAGGCGAAATTAAAAGATTTCATGAACACACTTGAGGAACATAACATGTGGGAACAGTTCATGGGAAGACTTAAATGATTCAACAACTCGTATAAGTGGTTGGCAGCTGTGTTATTTGAGTCTACCCTTTTGCCTATTGGAGGCTGATTTGAGCTGTTTCAGGAGCCATGAGTGGACAAAGCTTCTTAGCTGTATCCTATAACTAAATTTTATTTATTAGAGCACGACATGTATTCATATTAAATGTGAGTTTCAGTGGAAAATATGGTGCATGTCTTTTTACGATTGTATTGATTTATTTGTATTTTTGCATTGATACCATTATTTGATATTAAGCCACCTGACATTCGAAAGTCACTTTAAACTCCGACTAGTTAAGCAGAATTCGACATCCGAGTGATGTGCCATTGGATAGAGAACTTCTGCTCTTTAGTCTTTCCAAATTTCCGCTGTGCATATTCTGTAAAACTTAATTAAACAATTAGATTAGACAAGAATTTAGAGCACTTGATAAAAAATCAAGCAAACCACAAGTTAGAGTTACATAACAGATTTTGCTATAATTGCTGGGTTGGAAAATAAATCTTCCTCTCTGTACCTGTTTAGAGTTATGTGGTTTTTAGTGAAAACACACACCATGAGTTGGATAAGATACCTAGCCTGTATTTAATTACATTAACCAGGCCCAGGCTTTCACAAGGTTAATGACTCATACTTTGATTGTTAACTAGATCAACAGATCGCATGTGTAGCTCATCAACAATATAATCACATATTATAATTGAACTTTAATATTTTAAAGATCACTAGTTAAACCATTTTAACCAATCAAAAAAATAATTGATGTAAATTCACTCGTATATTTCCAACATATTCACGGTGTATTCTTCTGCCAACAACCAGAAGCTGCTCCGCTATTTCTCATTATCTGTTTCTGATATATCTTCCTAACAATTCTTGTTTCTAATGCCAAGACATTGCGACTGCAATAACGCAGAAAGACGATAACTGACTGGATGAGATTTATGGGAGTCACATGATTCAGAATATTTAGTGACTCAGAATTGGGAATGAGTTTCTTGTTTCATATATCTTCAAATTGTTTACAGCACAGTAAAGACATAGAAGGTGGTGAGAAGAAATCAAAGAAGCAATTAAGTACACCACAAGAACACGCATTTCTAACATAATTCAGACATTATACAGAATTACTTTCTATTCCACAGATCGCCTAGGTTGTTTTTGGGGGTGGGGAAGAAATTTATTGCCAAACAAATGATGCATTGCTCCTTTCTCTGTCTGCTACTACTCATATTGTTCATAAGCTACACTGTGTGTGTATTGTGTGTATATATATATATATATGGCACAGGCCTACTTGTCTCTGACTACACTACAATGTGGCACAGATCTACCTAGTCCTGAATGTTTTCACCGCCTTCTTTTTCTCTCAACGAGGATTCTCTGGCTTAACACCTCCCTGAAAAGCAGAAGCAGACATGATAGAATCGAAGATGATGAATACGAGTTACATCAGAGAATAATTAAGTATAGTAACATGGCACGTTCATTCACGCAAATTTATAAAAACTGCTACTCACGTGAAGGCATTTCTTTCTTTGTTTAACTTTTCCCATTCTCCTTTTTGTTGTTAATATACACAATTATAATCATGCATTCATATTAATGTTTCAAAAGCAACTTGACACGGGTTTCTAGATGATTTGACAGAAAAAAAATCTACTGGAATAGCATGATAATTGGATAAAGCTTAGGAAAAGATGTTTACTATCATATTCTCTCATAAAAACAAAATATGTGAAAGAACTTTAACAAGAACATCGATCAAGTGATGCTAAGGTGTATAAAAAGTATGCATGTTCTAATTTGAGAACCCAAAGGCAAAAATTTTAAAAACCGTGCTTAAGTTCTGTTCACGGTAATTATGCTTTGGAGTTAATTAATGGAATGAAAAGGCGGCCTTGAGTTTTCATGATAATATGCATGAAACTAAACCAAAAGCCTAGGTTTTACAAAGTAAGACAACAAACTTTTTATCATGATGTTCAGGTTGACCCACTAACCACTATGCTCAGTTGGCAGAAAACAAATACTTTGTAACAGCAAAATAAGACAGCCAGGTCCCATTGATCTCCCTAAGTTGTCTAAAGTAAATAATAATTAAACTGTGTCTACCATTGTAGAACAAAAATTTTGAATGGCCTTAATTAAAAGTTAAGTTTCGGTCATTTTCACACCGTCAACTCCCATGAAAGTAATGAACGATAAGTTATCAGAAATAGTCGTTAAAATCATTTAAAAGCATTAAGCACACCGATCCTGCAGTTGCTATTGCATTTCAAAAGCCGCTTGCGCAGTTATGATGAAAACTTCTAATATGAAAGCAGAAGTTAATCGTAAGTTAAACGACTTGCGCGGTTGGGCTTCATTTTCTTGGAACATATATTTTTCTCAAATTACAATGAAATGTCATTGTCATCAACTAACTTATTAGTTACAAGTTCGATTAGTAGTTAAGTAACTTTTAGAATCAGTTTCTAAAAATCACAATAAAATAGCAAACTACGCCTAATTCTTAACCTTCCTAATGGTGATGAATCAATCAGATAATGTATGAGGTATACCCTTTTTGGATGGCTTTCTGATACCTTCTGGCCCCGGTAGAAAGTTGGTAGGGTTGTCGTTTTAACATTCTGCTTTGACTTTTTTGTCTCAGCCTCTTTTCCCTCCTGTGATAGGGAATACAAAATTCAGGCATGAAATGTGTACAATATGCCCTACTTCTTTAAGTAGAAGTTAGCTAATTTCCTATGGAATAATTATCTTGTGCAACTAAGATTTAGTGCACAATGGAAAGAAAAAATAAAATGAAAATATGATTTTATAGACAAGAAATGACCCACATGGCTCTATTTTAAAAATCAATAAAGAATCAACAATATCAAATAAGATATCAGAGACATAATAGATAGATATTGCAAAAACGATATATGGTGGATTCCTTTTTTTCTTACATACCAAAGGGGCATAACAATTGCAGAAATGGTGAAATGATGAAATGGACAGGAAATACCACTGAGTTTACCTTTGGTTTTGATTGAAGAAGTGTTCTTTCAGCTTCTTTTGCATTAGATTTTCCCCCCGTTTTCTTTGAATGCTGGGATTTTTTAAAATAAAAAAGAAGCCAAGAGATCATGATTTAGTGAAAATGGGAAATAAATAAAGCACTAGACAGATGACAACAAGCAAGTTCCACTTCATACCTCTTTTCCTTTGACAGCTCCAATGTCACTTTTCAAGCCTACAGAACTTTGGGCAACATTCCCACTTCGTTTATCCATACTGTCAACCATTTTAGGCCTATGTAAATAAAGTTTCAAAAGGGTCAGCAAGAAAAAGAAGTTTGCAATGGACGTATTCTTTCATGATAAATCTAAAAGGATTTGTTTCTTGCAGAAGAGATGGGACAGATATTAACTGAGTCTTTATTCAGTGTAAAGATAGAAATTCGGTATGCATTAGGATATAAACAGATGTTGAACAAAATGATGAGCAGATATAAATCCGCCAAATATGACAAAAGCAGGTAATTGCAATTGAGTACTGAGGGAGGGGATTTTATGGCCCAGATTAAGACACATATTTTGAATTCTGACCGAGGGATAGATTTTCAATTAGGGTCACGAGATTAAAGGTGGATAAATAAAGCTATAGCAATGTTTAATTGTGGAAATAAATTATTTCCTACAAACAGATAATTATTTATTTAAAATGAATACCATTTGCTGCTTCTTCATTTATTTGATATTAATCAATGATGTCCTTGATTGGAATTCTCCCACAGAAAAGCAACCAAATAAAGATGGTGTTGGTAAATATAACTGTTATAAATATGGACATGATGAACAGTTCTGATCAAATTACAATTATGGAGCAACACATTTTGTAGCGCCAAAGGTAAAGCCGGTCATGCTATGTAAAATGCATTGAGAAGATTACACCAAAGCAGCTAAAAACACAAACAGTGCAGAACAGAGACATTACCGTCCATTTTCTTTCCGCAAAGCCATAGATGTTTGAACTTTTGCCTCTGTCCCCTTTGAAGGAACCTAAACAAGGAACGTTGAAGCAGATGCTATCAAATGAATGTAATACTCTGCTAGTAAATGCAACCATTTATTCATTGAAAATAAAACGGCAGTTTTATAATGTTTCACCACATACCCGTCCTGTTACCAGGGATCTAGCTGCGCCAGGGGTATTAGACTGGTTGAAATTGTTCTGGAATGTCTTAAATGCACGTTTGACTATGTCTTTATCCCCCATTTTCTCCATAATAAAAGATTTCCTCATTGGGGTAAGAGGAACTGGGTCGATATTACGTGGACCCAGGCTAAGGGACATGTGTAAAGATTTGTTAGCAACTCTTTTGTTTTCCTGAGTGGATGGATTTTTCCTTCCAGATAAAGATGGAGAATTTCCCTTTTTACTCGAAGTGGCAGATGGTAAAGTTTTGGTCGGAGTTGGTGTAAGTCTTGAGCTTCTAGGTGTTGTAATCTGGTGTGCCTTAGATGTAGGCACCACTGGTTTCCTTTTCGTCTTTACAGCACTATTTTCCCTATTGACATTGTTAACCTGTCCAAACTAGACGATCAAAAATAGGAAACTAGGGAATGGAACAGTCAAATTACAACCCATATAAAATGTGATTTCACCAGTCCCATTTTCCAATAAACACAAATGTTGGGGGTATATAGCTTAAAGCATACCTTCTTAGATTCCTCTGGATAATCCAATTTCATATCTTTTGCTTCAACTTGAGATGCCTGCACCTCTGCCAACCCATTGTCAACATTGCCTGAAGGTTCCTTCACGTTTTCAGCTTCAACGGGGGTAGTTTTTCCTTTTGTGTAGACAGGTGCTGTATTACCAAGATTGGAACCATCTGATCTGCTTTCCGGTTTTTTCTTCTCTTCCTCATTTGATGTGCTTTGATAATCTCTAGATTCTGGAATATTTTCAGTCATACCATCCATATGTACCCCACCGACCTCAACAGTTGAATTGGTTGCTTGCTTAATCTCTTTGACGAAAGAACCTTGACCGTTGGATGCATCAAATTCTGCATCAGTCCCGCAAGTGTTCTCGCTCAGATCTTCTTTGTTTTGATCTTCTGATCTCGAAAGATTCTTCTCCGCTTGCTTCTCTTGATCCAGCAATTCAGCTTTCCGGGCGGCAATTTTCTTGTAATGGGCCTCGAAATAAGCTTTCTTCTGAGCTACTGATCCAGGCGTAGCACACTTTTCAACTTCCTCCAAGTACTTATTTGGAGAGAAAGACGACCATTTCTCCCAAGAGAGAGATTCGCTCTCAAATCTACCAAACGAAACTGACACTTGCAAAGAAGAATTGGAAGCCACTGTCTCTCCGATCTGCTTAAAAGCACAGAAAAACGAAAATTATCTGCATAAGAACAAGCAACAAACAGAAAGACACCTCACACTTTCACCAAAAGCACCCAGGATTTGAACAATCATAATTTCGGAAACGACCAAGCCAACAGATTTGAAATCACGCTTACTGAAAATTCAAGTTTTAAGATACATTCTTCAGCAATCTTAATGGTAAATGGGTTTACCTTATCCTCACGGATCGGCGCATCCACCATGAATTCACCCATGGAAGTAAATCGCTACTCAGCTATAACTTCAAAACGGAAGACGGACACGGCATGGTCTGTGAAGAAGCAATCAAGTGCGTCAGGGGAATCTCACTGCGAAGACTAGAATCAAGAAAGCCCATAATGGGACAAATAGAAAAGTCTCAAAAAAAAAAAAAGCAGAAATGATGGCTCGAATAAGAATGGCAGGTCATGTGCCCGTGCAGTGAGAGCAATCATTCCTCCCCTTACTTCAATTTCTTCTTCACCTTTCTACGGCAAACGACATCGTTTGTCTGCTTGTTGTACTTCTGGAAACTTCGAAATGATAAACCCAATCATCAAGACAAAACGAAACACAGAAAAGCGAGAGAAAGTGCAAGGTCAGGGCCATGTATAAATCACCTGAAATATAGTTGGGACTTGGGCAGATGACTTTAACTTTCAATGGCATTCAAGTACTTGCTTTCCAGAGAGGGCCAAAGTTGAAGAGCTTGATGCAGTAAGTGAGAAGAGATGATAAAATTATTGAAGGAAAACCCTGACCCAGGAAGAAAAAGGCAAAAGAAAACGAAATCTGGTAAATAACTCAAGACGGAGGAAAAGAAAAGGAGACTAGCTGGCTCAATTAAATAATGGAACTTAGACAAAGAAAGTGGGTGGAATGCATTGAATAATAAAAACAAAGATCAGTAGATCACACTCGAAGCTCATCAACTTGGCTTCCGATGGATCATACCAAGAAATATCACGCTCAAGGGTTTGAGAGAGAGGGGGGGGGGCAATAACATAAAGATGGTGGTGGTGATTCAGACGAAGCAACATGAAAGGGTAGGCAGAGAAGGAGAGAAGGCCCACATGAAGAAGAAAAGCAGAACAGTAGCAAGTGAGAGTGAGGGAGGTACATGTGATGGGATGGGTTTGGAGACCATGCTATCTGCGTGCCTTCCTCGGGCCACTCCACCACGGGGTCCCCGGCTCCGTTAACTCACCACCTCACCTCATCTTAATCATTTACGTTATAAGTGAAGCGCTGAGACCATGAACAAAAAGTTTCCCAGAACATTTTCTTAGTCAATTTGATTTATAATATAAATATCTTAATATTTGTAAAAATAGTTATTTTATTTTATTTTTTATATTTATTAATTTATATTCTTGTAATTATAAATTTATAATTTTTTCTCACCCATCGTGAATTGAAACTAAGATAAAAAAAATAATATATATTTTTATAATAATAAGAATTTTATTAATGTGCAAATTCTTATTAAAATGATGGTTATGTTTAAATTAGAGGGAATGGCTTTTCATCTCTTATTTTCTCATAATTATTGATTTAATTTTAAATTTAAATTTAATTTAATGCAAATTAATTCTTGTGACTTGTTGAGTTTAGAAATTATGAAACTGTTTTGCATCCAATCAATAAATTATAAAGATTGAATTGTTAAGAAATAAGAAAATATATGATTAAATTGTCTCTTATAAAAGTTAAAGAGTTGGTTGATAACTATTTTATGATGTAATTTTTAGTCATTTAAATTTATATCAATTATTGATTAAGTTCTTCATATTTAATTTGTATCAATCTAGCCTTTTAAAATTGCCATAACTGTGAATTTGGTCATTGTTGTTTAAAAAGAAAGTAAAAGTGTTAAACTATACTGATATAAATAACAATACATTGATGACAGCTATGTAGAAAAAGGAGTATAATTATTTATGTGAAAAAAAAAAAGACTCCAAAACTTTAGAAAACAAAACATAATATGAATAATTAAATTAATAAAAATTAAATCAATTTGATAACTAATTTATTTTCATCTAACTATATAAATATATCAAGTTATCAATATAACTGATACATTAGATTAATTTAAAAGTTAATTCATATTTTAAAAATTAAAGGATTTATATAAGAATTTAAGAAAATGTCAAAAACTAAATCAATAAAACTTAAATTTAAGAAATTAAATTAATAACTAAATCAAATTTAAGACTGAAAAGTTTATTATTTCACGATGAAATGATCAAAGGCGGAAAGTTATGCTTTTGCTTGTATGATATATACTATATCGGTTTTTATATATAAAATATTTTTAATTAAATTATGTAAAATAATAAAAATTTATTATCTAATTAAAATTATAATAACATTTCAATTTTATTTTAAATTATTTTAAATAATAAATGAATAATTTTTTATAGTAAATTAATAAAAATATTTATTTTTTAATTTAATAAGGTTGTAATAATCTATTCACTAAAAAAATATGTCAATAATTTTTTATATTTAAAAATAAAAAAATTTTAAAAGATTTTTTTTGGTTGCCGACTGGATTCACCAGAACTTTTTCTGACTACATTTAGATTTGACTCACATCACGCACCTCGCGTTAATGGATGTATCTCCCAATAAAAATTTTTTATATGCACAAGATTTAAATTCAAAATTTATTTAAAGTAAAATAAATTGTTTATCACTCGAACCAAATTTTGTTGGTTAACAAGATTTTTTTATACACAAGGAAGGAGGGAGTAATTATCGGTCGATCTACCTCCCAAGACTGTTCCGCATTAACATCGGTGCACGCTTTTTTATTTTTTTGTTTTGTTTTGTTTAATAGATCAGCCATCAGTGTAGGGCCTGCAAGCTTTCGACAAATACCTTCATTCCCTTGCTTGGAGCTTCTTTTGTCCTGGGCCAAAAGCACAAAGGGAACTTCTGTCGTGATCTAATCACCGTTATCATAGTGAAATTTGAGCCCCGTTACGAGAACCAAACTTCAAGCAATCCTTTGTGCACGCCGTTTTTTTTTTTTTTTTTGGTCTGTCCCTTCACTCAAAACCTCAAATGAATGAGCTCACGGGTCGACATCAAGATCTCTTCTCAACGTCAAAGCGTTCTTAATTTAATTTAAAACATATCACCATTTGATACATCCAACAAAGACATGTTCCGTATGCACTGTATTCATAACTCATTAAATATTACCTACAACCTCAGAAGCAAAAGGTCATGATTGCTCTAAGATTCTCCTAGTCTTGCCCCGAAAAATCACCACGGGTTGGGTCTTGACATAACACCTAGGAGGTTGGGCCAATTTACTGGTATGGGCTTTATTGATGCACACTTGTCTGCGTTTGCATAGAACATTGAGCCCAATGGCCCTTGTGTTTGTGTGTGCAGTTGTGTGTGTAATATTATTCTATTGAGTTTCCATGCACTCGATTGATTCCACTGTTATTCCCAGCTGCTTCACTACTTTCTGTTGGTTTTTGCAATTAAGTTGCCGGGAGAGGAGACTCTCGTTTTTTTACTCTCCACTTCCTCCACCTCCATTATTCACATTATCTTATTAAATAATTTTTAATCATAAAATTAATGAAGGGTGAAGATGGGAGAAGTAGAGAGAAAAGGGAAGAGAGAAAGAAAAAAAGAACAGTCCCCTCACTTCAATAGATGATGGTGTATATTGAATTTTTTAAAAAAAAGAAAAAAAATAGATTAGTCTCTAAATTATAAGCTTAAAAATGTCAAGGATTTTAATCTTATTTTTAATATAATATTTGCCTTCAACTTGTAAAAATAATACAATTTAGCCTCTTCAACTTTTAAAAATGGTGCAATTTAACTCTTACTATAACAAAAATTAATTTTAACCATTACTTAACAAAAAATTGACCTTAAAATTATAAAAAAGAACCAAAAAATATAAATAAATGACCAAAAATTACAAACAATAACCCAAAAAATTACAGAAAAATGACCAAGAGACTGATCCTTTTTTTTGTAATTTTTAAAGTCATTTTGTATCATTTTTTTGGTCAACTAATAGTTAAGGTAAGCTTTTGGTAATGTTAAGAGTTAAATTATATCATTTTCAAAAGTTGAAAGAAAATATTATATCAAAAATTAGTTTAGAATTCGGAACATTTCTGTATCTATAATTTAGGGACCAATTTATTTATTTATCTTTTTTTTAAATGAGTTCACAAAAAAGAAAAACTTAGATAAAATTATGAAACACGGTAGGGACTTTAAGCTGCCATTGATTTCAACTATTTTTGCTTACTCGGACCATAGAAGGGCGGTCTCTGTCATTTTATGCTGCCTGGATTCTATAATCTACCCAAGCCATCCGTTGCAATCCAAAACAGGAGCTCTGTGTGTGTGTGTGTGTTTGTTCTATCATCAGTTGATTTAATAACTTTGCTATCCATTTTGTCTCTTATAACTCTTTTTTGCTTTTACATTCAGTGTTGGCAGAGCTATTAGCCACCCGACTAATCTAGATTGAGGATCTACTTGGTAAGGTAGACGGACCTCTCCTCAAACATGTTTTCTCTAAGATCTGGACTCTCAATTTTACACGTAAGTTCTTTTTTGGGGCTTAATTAGTTTACTGTCACTTTGCTAACCTCTCTGGGGTTACCTCTTATGAATAAGTGGAGGTCGAATGTTTTTTTAAGCCAGAGTTTGAGCCGATTGAAAGCCTCACAGTAGAGTTGATTACTTTTCACGAATAATGCAACCAGGCAACCCAACCAACTTTTATTATTGCAGTCGAGGGTCTCAAATATCTAGAAATTGTATGACCACGAAGCACTCAATAATACTGCCAGCTAAGCTTTGCCATTTGGACACGGAACAGTTGAAAATGACGACTAATTGAGATGCTTGCACATTATGTTATCTTCTCTTGTCTTTTTAAATAATAGACATGGGGATATACAAAATTCATTCGAGAATTGACATTATATCTGCATCTCAATCAACCCTCACCTTCCACAACCAACTATGATTTCATGCACATTTTAAAAATTTACTGTTTGTTTGAACTATTTATTTTTTTAATATATATATATAGTGTACAAATTTGTAGTTGATTTTTAGTTCGATTTCATGAGGCCTTGGGGAACATTTTGAGGGGGAGCAAGAGCTGGCACCGACAAGCAAAGAGAGAAGAATCTAAACCTACCAAAAGCTACATGAACAAGTCGTCCAAAAATGAGAAGTTGGATTCGTCAGCTTAATCATAATAGTACATTTATTTAATAATTAATATACTTCAAATGACTGCAGGGCACAGACAGAGATGCCTTCATTGGATGCCTTAGAGTTTCCTCAGACGTTGACGTGTTTGATTGGAGAAGAATTTGAATGAAATAGAGGAGATAAGAAATTTTATTAAGTTCCATTTTAATAAAAATGGAGAGATGGAATTAGAAACTTATAATTTATTTTTATATTTTATCTTACCTATTTTATTTATTAAAATTTTATAATTTAATTTATCTAATTTTTTTAATCGAACTTATCAAAATTTCTCCCTCAAATAAAGGGCCAAACTTCATGATCGATTGTGATTCCTTTGACTGAAAAATGAGCCAAAACATAATAATTAATAATTAAAAAACATTTAAAAATACTTTACATGATTATGGTCCGGCCTCCTCCCCGACCTCCCGCCTAGAATTTTCCGGACAATGAAGCCGCGGGGTCCATGGTGGTTGCCCTGAAATTATCAGACCAAACTGTACTATTTTTTTAGAATTATTTTGTATTCCTATTTAAAAATATTCAATTTATTTTTGTTTGAAAAAACTCATTTCTTATATAATATATATTTGATTAAATACATAGCATAAAATATTACGCATGTATGATTAATTTAAAAATGGCTTTTTTAAGAAAAATGAATTTTACCCCAATTTTTTGTTTAATTTGCAAAACATACACACAAGAATGCGAGACAGAGATAAAACTTTTTGGGCTCGTGATTCCTCAACTAAAAGGAAAACTCTCAGAGTCTACCCAATCCATGGTGGTGCACTAACATAAGCAAACACAATACCTTTTTCATCAAAACAAAAAAAAAAAAAGAAAAGAAAAAGAAAAATCAAAATCCGTTTTTTATTTTTCTAGTCTTTTTCCAACCTCATTAGCTTTCAATCAAGAAAATCCGCGATCCAATCCTTCATACGCCTCGATGTTGAAAGGAATCCAAAGAACCTAATCAAACTTCTCACTTCTGCCATTAACTTTTTTTTTTTTCAAATTTAACCAGTAAAAACTAAAAATACGTACAACGAGTACCTTATAAGTACGATATGATGATGATATATGCTCTTTGAATCTGAAAGCATACAAGTGACACTGAAAAGGCTGCATCATTCAGTAGCTGTGAGTAGAAGAGCAAGACAAGACATATGAAAGGTAATGAATTCAAGTAACAACAATGAACAACTGTCTCGTTATTCTCCTCCTTCGCCTTCAATCCAATGGTCCCATACACTGAACTCAACCCCACCCACCGCCCAGCAAAATTGTTCCTCAGATGGAACCTCCCCAGAAAATAAAATAAGAATTCAACTCTAACAATAATCCCTACAAATCACAGGAATTTAAAATTACAGTAAAGCGAAAAGAATGAAGAAAAGACCATGAATCAATCTCCCAGTTCTGTACACTGCTTGCTACCAAAGAATCCTATCAAAAGAATCAGTTCATCACAACAAATCATGAGCATATCCAACCAATATCGAAGATGAGAACCTCCATGCCTGATCCCTCGCACTGTTCTGGTGTCTCTGTGGTGGTTTGTAGAGATCGTACGGCTCCCACAGACTATCCAGTGGACATGGTTGCTTCGCGTCAAGCCTCGCCCATGGCTTCCCTTTCCCGCTCCAATGAAGAAGACTCACAGGACCTGGATGCAACGACCTGCATATTCCATTCACATTATCTCCTCCCAGCCCGTGTTGATTCCACCGATGATCAATTGCTTCGACATTCCCAGCGAAAATCAGCAAGAAAGGAGGGAGCGAGCCCAGTTCGTAAATCCTCTTCTTCCTCTGCAATTCCATCCAATTCTCGATCCTCTTCCTGTAATTCCCCTCCCTCCACCTCACCAAATCCATCACCATCACGCCTGTGTTGAAGTAACAGGGCCTTCTAGAAGCGAAAACACGTGAAAGAACAGGGTCTGACCAGAAAGTGTCGGTGAAGTACTTGGTGAAGTTGGCGTGACAGTACTCGGGTGCTCCAATGACCCGTGACCCGGACGGCGTCACGTTCCAGAGCTTGTGGACGTCGTCGACGACGACTATGTCTGAGTCCAGGTAGATGACCCGATCAACGCACGGGTCGAGGATGTCGCCAAGGTAGTTCCTTGCGTAGTTCAGCGGGTTCTCGAGGGCCTGGCGAATGGACGAGGAGATGAGGTTGATAACGGTGTCTTCTCTGAAAATGTAGACCTTGAAATTGAGGGAAGGGAAGGTGGTTCGGACTATTCGGGTCAGGACCCGAGGACTCGCATAATCAAACTCCGCCGCCATAAAGTGAAAGAAGACGTTTTCGGGGCAGGACGAGTGTCTCAGAACGGAATGGACGGCGGCGATGGAGCCACGGAGGTACCCGGAATCAAGAGTCATGGCTATGTGAACCAGAGAAGGCTCACAGCGCAATGCGACGCCGCTTCTATTGGTCGAAACAGGGCACCCTGCTCCGTTGCGGTAGTCCGGCGCTTCAGCGAATCGAGGCAAACCGTCGAACACCATTTCAGAGCCATCGACGACATCAAACATGGTCGGAAACGACCGAATCCCGAGGGAAAACGGCGGCAGTAAACAACAAACAAGGACTAACAAAACGACGCCACTTAACCGGAAGGGAACCATTTGCGGCTCTGCTTCAAGAAAAGGAAAGGTACAGGAAAAGGGTGGTTTCTCGACAGAGATGGAAACGACTATGACTCAGAAATCAGGAGAGCATTGGGGTGGCACCATGGAGAGAATACAGAGACGAACAATGAAATGGAAAAGGGGAAGAGGAGAGAGAGGTGAGTGATGATACCATTTTCGTGTTGGTGGTCGTCTTGGTCTTTTCTTGGTGAAGCGAGATACGGTTTTGGTTTCTGAGGGAGAAAAGTAGCGAGAGGTGGTGGAGGCTGTGGTGGTGGTGGTGTCTCTCAGAAAGTTATTACTTATGTCTTGTCTCTCTCTCTCCTCGATTTCTTTATTCTCTCTCATCGTCGGGGAAGAAAACAAAAACAAAAGCAAAAACAAAATGAAAATGGTCGGTTTTAGTAAATCAAGCTGGTCGCCCGGAAACCTAATGAGGTTGCTTAATTGCACTGATTCACAAAGCGTATTACAGTCTCCCTCTCTAATGCCGGGAATCCGTGCGTACGAAGCTTATTCAATTTGAACTTTTTTATCTAACTTAAAATATTTTACTCTTTTTAAAAAATTTATATAATTAAATTTGACTTTAATATTTTAAGGCTTCACGTTTATCCAGGCCATTTTGAATATTCAAAATTTTTTAAAAAATATTTTTTTATTTTTTAAATTAATTTTAATTTTTAAACAATTCTGTTAAGTATAAAATATTATTTTAATTTTAAAAATAAATATAAAATAAAATTTATCAATTTTGTACTTAAATAATTCTGTTACTATTTTATTATATTATGTATAATTTATTCATAAATATTGTCTCTACTTGTAAATTAATGTTTAGTTGTTTACATATTGTTCTTATTGTAGTCATATATAAATATTTTATATATTTTAATTAAATTATATTATTTTAATTATTATCAAGATAATTTCAATTCAATTACAGATCATTAATTTAAAATTATTTCTCTAATTAATTCAAAATTTTTCTTAACTTTTGAGTAAATTATAATTTTTGTTTTTAAGAATATTGAAAAAATAGTTATCATTATATTATATAAAATAAATCATTTAATTATAAGTAAAATACTATTTTTTATAATTATTTTTTTAATTTTTTATATAGTTTAAACCTTACATAAAAAGATATTTATTTTAGTTTATTCTCAATTTTTTATCAAATTTGGTGTAAATAATAATCAAATAATTATTTAAAAATATTATTCTATTTATTTTGTTTATCTAGTAGAAAAGTAAAGAATTTGTACATGCTCAAATTTTTTAAAATTATTTTAATTTTATTTTTATTTTAAAATTAATTATCTTATTTTATAAAAATATAAAAAGAATTGTGTCTTAAAATATAAAAATTAGTATTAAAAAACATTTTAAATATTACTTTGAGATATTTTATTGATTAAAAATAATAAAAATATGAAACATAAATATTTTTAATTTTTTAAAATAAATATAATAATAAACTCAAATATCTTGTATCTTAGTATAAAATAACATAAAAATTAAATAATTAATTAATATTTATTATATTTCTAACAAAATTATTCCTTTTGCGTATTCAGGCCAAGCCCGAGTTCGTTTGGGCTTAGCACAAATTTTCTCGTGTCTATTTAGACTGACTTTGATAAATTCAAACATTAAAAGATTATTATTTTTATGCACTCAGATCTAAATCTTTCGACCAAGTTCAAGATGGCTCATTGAACTTGGTATAAATTGTCGACTCTATCCTCTCCCTCTTTATTAAGGTCTTGTTGGCTAAGTATGATACTCTTCGGCTCTAAAGACTTTTACTTTGTTTTACTTGAGTAAAAAAAATTAATCTTACTTTATTTTAAATTATGAGATACTTTTTAAAAACTATTTGATATCTCAAAATGTAAAGGACTTTAATTAAAAATAAGATACAATTAGTAATATTTTTTCGATATTATCCTATCCATTATATTGTCCCTTTTAAGTATTCTTTCATAAATATAGTATAAATGAAAGGATTAAAATGCATTTTTGCTTCCATACTTCCTTCTAAGAGCGCTGGGCACCCTATAGTAATCAATGAGACTTTTTTTTTTCAAATCATTTTTAGAGAGCAAAAATCCTCTTTCGTTGGTGATCAATTAATGGAAGGGAATTTTTGCTCATTGAGAAAATGATTTAGAAAAAAAATGATGACTTATTAGTATATGATGCTCAATGTTTCTCAAGGGAAAGTACATCGACAAAAATGTACTTTAATCCTTAAATGAAGGATATTTTTTAATTTTTTATGTTTATTTTTAAAAATAAAATTATAAAATATATTTAATGAGTTTGATTGATAGATGTAAATTTATATCTTATAATTTAAAATAGAATGAGTATTAACTACTCCTTTGGAACCATAATACAAACCATTTTTAGATGTTTTGCTTGGTCCAATATGTGTGAAATTTGATAACTTTTATGATTATTTTTTTGTTAACTGCACTACTACTTCATTTGCTATTCTATTTGAAAAATAATGTATTAAGATTTTAATTATCATTATCAAAATATTTATATATGGTACTTAATAAGGATAAAATTAAAGTTTCAAGTAACATTTTTTTTAAACCATGAATTAGTTACTAATGCTTTATATTATGGTCTGAAGGAAATATGTTTGAAAATTTAATAAGTTTTTAATTTTATTTATATTAAATATAAATATTTTAATAATATATTTTCTCTCACCAATATTCAATGAGATAAAAGAGAAATTTTGTCATACAAATTTCATGATGTGAGTTATAAATAAGACAATTAATTTTTTTAACACATAATTTATAAACAAAATTGAAAAGGGTAGAGTTTTTATTTTTTTACTATATTCTATCAGAGCACGCGCGTGTAAATTACATTTTACAAAAATTAAAACTATTTTTTAAAAGTCGTTTTACATTAAAGGAATGATTATTTATTACTTTTTTTAATTTTATTCTTTTGCAATTTTCTGTAAGTACTCTCTCCACTTAAATACAGGATACTTTCAACTACATTAAAAGTAATTTATATTGTCAAATGAATAAAAAATTGTCACTTACTTTCCCATATTGCCTTGCAATGAAAATTAATCTATCTTATCTAACCTTTAATTAGTTTCTTATAAAATCTCGAAAACACAATTAATACTAATAAGTGTATTTGAAAAGACTAATTTATTGCTACTGATTTCTTTTTGTAAAGTGAGCATCAAATATATTTTGGATGAATGTTAATTAGTGGAAAGGTGTGACACTTTGAATGAAGTAGTAATTAAGAAGAGGAATTTGGTGAAGAGAGGATGGGCATTGAAGAGGCCAGGGAAGAGGTTTGAGGGTTATATCGGAAATAGTGAAAACAGAGGAGGGTGATTAATGAAACATAAATGGGGATTCAACACTTCAACATCGAAGTGGAGAATCAATGAAATGTCATCAAAACCTCTTTGGTTTTAACCCCTCAGGCCCTCGCACACCAAGAGGCCATTCATTGCTTCAAAAAAGTCTTCTCTCTCTCATAATCTTCACATTCATTCAATGAATCCAATTTCATACGGACCCTGCCTCTCTCTGATCTCACTCATGCAGTCTAGTTTTACAGCTCATTTCTCTTGTCTGAATTTACAGTCCTTTTTTATTGCACAAGAGTAATTCAAGTAATTTTTACTCCATGTGATCCAAATAATAAGATAATTTGATAAAAATAAAATTTTATTAAATAGATTTTTTAATATTATCATTCTCTATTCATTATTTTTTCTTTATTTAATCATTTAAGATTCTTTGACAAAAAATTATTTAAAGTTATATTAAATGAAAGATATTTTTAAAAATTTATATTTTTATTTTAAAAATTTGAGTTATAAAGCTTATAATGAGATATTATATATAGGTATATTTTTCAATAAGAATTTAAATCTTATTTTATCATGTTATGAAATATAAATTCATTTTACTGAATCAAACTCTTGTTGGTCAAGTAAATTTTAAATCACAAGGCAAAGACAATAATATTTTTTCAAATGTGTTTGGTTGTATATTAAAAATTATCAAAATCATGGTCAACGAACAAAATTTATGAGAATCGTGATTTTAATGAAATGAAAATAGATATTAATAGCTCCTCTAAACTTTTATGTATATAGTAGTTTTCAAGATAAAATAAAAACACCTTATTTTTGTTAGGAAGAATGATATTAAAGTCCCACACAAAGAAATTAATTACTGCAAGGTTCATACAGTTTAGTTCAGTTATCAATGAACTTTATAGTAATTAATTTCCTTATATGAGACCTAACTATAATTTTCTTTTTTTGTTATCGGTTAACATTTTGATAAATGATTAAATAAAGTCAATGATATGATTATGTGGACTTAATTTTTTTTAAGTCAAGATTGATGAATTTTTATGTTCTTTTATGTTTTTTATTTTTTTATAAAACATAAAATCCTCTCCCTCTTTTTTAAAAATTATATATTTCAGGAAATTCAGATATTATCAATCTCAGAGGATCCACTGTTCGATTGATTTAGCCAACAATGATATGAACTCACATAACCAGGAGTGTATAATAATATTGACGGTAATACCTAAAAGAATTTATAGTTTTAAATTGCATAGAGATATGATAAAGTACACAACCAAGACATAATAAATCATTCATGGTCTCTTTTTCACCTTTAATTTGAAATGAGCAAATATTTCCGGTGAAGAAATAAAATGCACCATGGCCTAACAAAATATTTTGGAAAAAATGACAATAAAAGACCCCATAAAATCATTAATTATAATCAAGAACCTTGAACTATTGAACCTCAATAATAGACCATGGTCCTCATTTTGAATTAAAAATACAAGTTTAAAATTAAAAAAAGATATTATTAAAATTACTATCATGAGCTAGACTATCATAAATCGTAGTTAAAAAAATTAGAAACTATATTTGGGAATGAATTATTTCTTAGTATGAAACTAGAATTTATTTGTGAAACTTTCAATAAGAATTTGTGAATATATTATAATTACTTGAAAATTTATTAAAATTACTTTTAAATATGAAACTAATTATTTGTAAATTTTTATACTTGTCATTTCACGGGCAAACCACATGAAAAATCAAGAAAAAATGCTACTTAAATTACCATAATAGGTGGGGACCATTGTCAATTTCAATTGGGGAAATCATGATCTCAAGCATTATTAATTTCATTCCCAAATATGGAATCAAATTTTTTAACTGAGATTAATAATAATTCAAACTTATAATAATAATTTTAGCGACCTTTTTTTGTTGATTTTAAACTCATATTTTTAATTTCAATTAAGGATGATAGTCTATTATTGAAGTTTTAATAATTGAGTTTCTA